CAGAAGGCCTGTAATTTTAACTTTGTTATATTTTCCATGTCCAATTACAATTGTCTCATGAGCTATTCCTATTGTTGCAACTTCCAGAGCCTGCAGAACATGCAAAGCTTTTTAAGAGATTTTTCCTAAAAAAAAGAAATCCATTTCCAACTTTAGTGTTTACCACGTGGTCTGTATTTCGGGCTTATCACAAATGGTGTCCCCTATATCTCTAATGAGCTCTTGTTACGAAAATGTAGCTTAACGGTTTTATAATAACTTCACTTACAATGACACTATGCACCTTCAAAATAACTTAAATCACACAAACAAGGCCCATCGCAAATATATCAATCCTATTAAACACATGCATTATTTACATGAAATATCACATTTTTAAAACTGATGACTCAAAATAGAAATGTTGTAACAGACAGTCTTTTCCAAAAGCCTCCTCGGGCTTTCATGCTTGTTCTTGCAACTGTGCCTGAGTAACTGTGCTGTAGTACAACGCTCGGTCCAGCTGGTGGCGCTAATACTAACTTCAGTGGCTCCCGCATTGTGCGAGCTTCCTGTTTACATTCCGATGCTGTAGCTAACAGCTACTGTAGCAGCTACTGTAGCTAACAGCTACTGTAGCAGCTACTGTAGCTAACAGCTACTGTAGCAGCTACTGTAGCTAACAGCTACTGTAGCTAACAGACAGCGGGGAACACGTTGTTTGTATCAGAGCAATAAGAGACGTATCTTTCCCCAAAGTGCAGCGGCTCAGTGGGACACGAGTGTGTGTTCTGGCGATTTAAATAAAGTCTGATTCTTGACCGTTTGAAGTGTTATTGCAACAGCACCAACTGTGAGAGCGAGCATCAGGCCAGAGGGAGACTGTTAGCATTAGGTTAGCTTCAAAATGACTGCTCAACACCATAGACCCGCGGTTAGCGCGTTAGCGCTGTAGTTCTGCGCTGGAAAAAATAAAAAATCGAATTTTAAAAGAAAAGAAATCGCCCTAAATGTAAAACTCGAATTAATGATTAAAATCGATTAATTGCCCAGCCCTAACTGAAGCCATGAGTTTTGTGAAGCGACCACTCACTTGAGAACGGACCAAAATCTGTCACCTTATGTTTTGTTTTTAAACACAGGATTTGTTGTAATCATCCAGAATTTTAACTGTTACACCACAGATTGTTAGCGTATATTACGGGAATTCAGCATGAATTATCTTTAAAAAGTGCCAATTGCAATTTGTTGTTGTTCAACTTACATGAGCGGTCGCTTTGGTGACGAATGTGAACCCAGGTTTGGTCAGTCGCTCGTGTTTCCTCCGTGCCCGCCTCTGCCGTCCTCTGGCCCCGTGTGAGCTTGAGCGTTCCTCTGCCTTTAACGCCTCCTCCGGTAACAGTCCTTCGACCCATGTCGAGCACACAGTCTTTCCGCCGGGCTGTGGAAGTTTTTCAAAGTCCGCAGGAGGCCCAGGTAGCCCAAAGCGTTAGCATGTGGTCCATGAGGGTTGGTGAATAACCCAAACGTGCCGGTCACAATGGCTTCTTCTGTTTGCGGTGCGGGAACAACTTTCAAGGGGGTTTCCGCGGGTGCGTTTGGTATATCACGCTGCCCCCTCCGTGGAGAACAGTCACGGGATTTGGAGCAGTTTCTCTCTGTGCTCCAAAGCAGTTGTCGGTGTCTCACATATTTGTTTCCCCCGTTTCTTCTTCTGTGGTTTCCTGAGCGTGTGTCTGTTTCCGCCTCTTCTTCTTCTGCGGTTTGGGCCCACTTCTCGCGGGGTCTCAGCTGGTGCGGGCGCCGCCTGTGGTTGGGGCGTGGGGCTGGTGCTTTGAGGCAGAGGACAGAGCGCGGAGGAAAAGCGCCGACAGACCTGGATAGGGAAGAGGGAAAAGAGACAACAGTAGTCTGCTTCATTTTTTAAAAACCCAACGCCTTGTTTGGGTGCACACTTCTTGTTAGTAGGGGAAAAAGGGCGGTAGGGTGGGGGGGTGGGGGTGTGTGTGTGTGTGTCCGCCTGTGTGTTCTCCGCTTTGGTGAAGAGCGGAGGAGCTATTGTTTTTACATATTTCTTTCTCTAACCTCTTTTGCCGTGATATTCTTAAAACCAAGTATATTTTTTTTTTTCTTCCCTTCTTCTTCTAAATTATCACGCAGATGACCTGCACCATAGGCAAACACTTCACAGCTTGCATCTGTAGATTGATTTTACCCATTTTCTCGTACGAACAATGGGCCTAACCCGCTTAGTCTCTCCCTGCTCCTACCCACTTTGGGGCGCTCCGTTCCCCCCCCCGCTGGTTCAACCAGCGAGCGCGCGTTCTTGAAAACGGAGCGGTTCTGGCTGAAGACACTCAGAGATTCCAGGGTCGCTTACAATGCGATACTAACGCGCAGCCGCTAGTTTCAATCTAGAACAAAAAGCCCCCCAAAAAATCCCGCACACAGACTATGCTGTGGCAATGAATGAAATACCCCAAAAATACATAAATAAACAAATCCCCGTGTACACTTAAGTGCTGCCCTGGGCTCGTTACGCAGATGAAAAGACAAGACTCACCAGATTAGGTTCTTTTTGGTCTTGTGTGGCAAAAGGATTCCTTCCGTGCGCGGGACGAGCGCGCCCTCCTTTGTCTCCAAAAAGGAACAGAGGCTGGTGATCCAGGTCGGCCAAACAAAGCCGCTCGTCCCCGCCGAAAGTATCCATGCCAAGACATGTCAGCAACGCCAAATTGTTATAGAATTATATACCCCATGAAGGAGAAAACTCAAAGGTCCTTTGTCTGATCAAAAGCGTAAGTTTATTGTTAACGCACAGTGCGGAGAGCCAGCACATACACTCCAAAAGCAGCATGTCCCAGCTCTGGGGGCCAGAGCCCCGAGCTTCCTGTATACAAGACACACACCAAAGATAGTCACGCCCACAACGGAGCGGAGGGGGCCACCGGTGAGGAGGCGCACAGGAAGCGCCGGCGCTATCCCCTGTGGTGGCAGTGGCATGGGGTGTGAACAGACAGACAATGGTGGAAATGCAGGTCATACAGATGCAAGACGGAAAGACACAAGGGTGTGACAGACAGCAGGGACCTTCACAAAGCTCAGCATGGCGTCAGAAGGTCGTCTGCATTGATAAAAGGCCTTTGACGTCCGTGTATTTGCTGCGGCTGGTTTTAATGTAATTACTCCAAAAACTGTCACCACAGACGCAAACATGAAGCAGTCCTTCCTCATCGGCTGAAAGCCAATGTTATTTTCCTGTTCTTAGTCCAGTCTTATTTTCGACTCTTTCTCTCTTTAGCTTTGGGATCCATGCGCACACGCCGGTTTGTTTACGTCTCTACGTTGACAGAAATGTTGAAATTGAATATTAATTACGCACATTTTTCAATCAATCAATCAATCAATCCTTTATTGTCTCACAGATGGAGAAATTCAGTTCGATGAATAAACATCAAGGCCGGCTGCGGAAAATATTTCCGCGCTCCTTATGACAGTTATTCAACAGCAGAGAGCAAAACAAACATATTTCAACAGACATTATTGGATGGAAACAGTACATAAGGGAAAGCATGCAGATCTTTTTAAAGGGACATTGTCACTACGCACCTCGTCCAATATGGCGTGTCAGAGGGGGAGAGTGGGTGGGGGGGTGGAGGGGAAGACCACCGTAGACAGAAGGGGAGAGAGAGACAGACATGTAGAGGGAGGGGTGAGCCAAACAACTGGTGTGAGGGAGACTGAAGTATTAGGTGAGAGAGTCCATCTTCGGCCTTGGGTAGTGGAATGTGAAGGTCAGTAGATAAGACATGGAGACAAAACAACACATATGTCTTTGGGAGAATTTGTAAAGCACTTTAGCTGGTCAAATCAGGCAGTGTAACTTTAAAGCCAATTAAGTCCAAATTAAAAACCGGAACTGGATCCCTCTGTCCACCGTTCTCCAGAGTTCACCACGTCAGTGCGAGGAGCCGCCATGAGGCCCTAGTCCATCAATCAATCCCTCCAAACGCTTATGTCCTTTCATCGATCTCATTCCCAGATCTTTAAGGGAATGTTCGATCTGTATCACACACCTCTGTGTCCCCACAGCGCTCTCGACCACGACCCTGGTCAGCTCTCGAAAAATTCTCCTTGTTTTCCGTGGAAATCTGCTCGTAAATCTTCTGAGTAGATAGCCCTCCAACTTTGCGGTAGATCTAACCCTAACCCTAACCCTCCAAATCCAATCAGGAGGACCCTTGCTACCATAATCCAAAAATGTATATATCCTCAATGTCTCCGATGGACAGTCCCGACAGACAAACGGGGTGGCACTTCTGCTTTTGTATTTTTACAGCATTTATAAACGTTAAGAATGTTTTTCCTTCTACAGAAACCACACTCAAACTACAAATAAAATATAGCCCTCCCACTCCATTTTCAGATGTGTTTGAAAAGGCTCCAGGAGCCACTGGAGGAGCACTAAAGAGCCACAGGTTGCCGACCCCTGTGTTACACTATAATATTACTGTCTCTGAATTGTAAAGCATTTCATCACTCATTACCAAATACTAAATGTAGATTATTATGCTATCGCGTGAGGTTGACAGAGATTTTGGTTCAACTTAACTGTCATGTTTTTCACATCTTTGTCTCCAACAAGTTCTACATAATGGGAGTTTGTCCATCTAATAATGTATTATTGCTCGATGTAGTGTAGGCTTCTGCTTCAGCTTCAACCGTCTTGTACTAGACTAGAAACAATTGGTGCAGATTAATTTTGGGTTAAAATGCAATGTAACGATATTAACCTTCTGTACCAAGGTGTACAGAGTTTAATTTGGAATATCTTACACTTATTTGAATTGAATTAACTTTGTCCGTGAGGAACTTTGCATTTGCAGACGGAGCATCAGTGGGGATCCACAAAAACACAGAGACACAAGATATAAAATACTGAAACAATAAAATACAATAAAAGTGCAGACATGTAGTAGAAAATACAGATTCGAATTCCAGACTTCTACACTGCGTTTGTCATGTCGGTAAAAATGAAAGCAACCTAAAAACATAGAACTGCTAAAATAATGGATTTAATAAAAGCAGATACAAAATCAAAATCCAGAGTAAACAACGAAAAGTACAAACAGGGATTGAGGACAAGATATAAAACAGACTAACGAGACACATGAGACACATGGGGGCGGGGCATGTAATCAGGAAACAGGAAGTAGAACTAAAGAAGACACAGGGTATGACAAATTACAAAATAAAACAGGGAAAAAAACGTAACCATGACAGCGTTACAGCAAAAACCAATACATTACAGTAACTACATGACTTTTGTAACGCGTTTCTCTCAACACAAGTGTTAATTCCAGCTTGTTGTCTCTGTTCCATGGTGTTCTCAGAGGAAGTATCCCGTGCACTACAAGATCGCACTCATCATCAACTACCTGGGACACTGCATCTCTGTGGGAGCGCTGGTGGTGGCCTTTGTCCTCTTTCTGTGCTTAAGGTGAGAACACACACCACCCAGATTTACTTCCATGTTTTATAATGTGTGTGTGGATAGAGAGGTCTGGGCGTCTCTGCTTAGACTGCTGCCCCAACTGCGACCTGGAAACGGATGAAGCGGAAGGAAATGGATGGATGGAGGGGCGTTTGTGGAGCGTTTGTAGAATGTGCAAATGGCTTATTCCAGTGTCTCCCAAAGTGGGTACTGCAGAGGGGCCGCGGGAAGTCATAAAAAAAAAAAAAAAAGTTTTATATAATTATTGAATGTTAGATTAATAATATTTTGTTTGTAATATTAAAATGTGTTTTCATTATTTGACTTGAATAATCAAATTGTAATTATTTTTGCATTACAAAATGGGGTGCGTCATTTGCATGTTTGTAGCAGAGGCTATTTCCCCCAAATAAAATAACGAGAAGAGCCTATTTTTTAACGTTGTCTTCTTGGTTTGTATTTTGGGGGGCCGCGCAGACCCGTCAGATTTTCAAGGTGGGCCGCGGTGTGACTTTGGGAATAGCTGGCTTATTCAATCTGTTTTTTTAAATGTATTTTGAATTTAGAATCAATCGATGTTGGTTCAGAAAATGTCACATGCTGTATGATTTGAAATGCAATCTCAAATCAATACGGTAAAGGCAAAAGTATCTTGTGTTCCCACACTCGGCTCCCACAATCTGCACTCACACTACAGTCTGCTCCCATCAGGGCGTAGGTTCAGGTCCCTCTCAATATGCCTTTTAAACAGCTGATTTGGAGACCTGTTTTATGTATTCTATATTGCATTTCTGCTCTTTTACAGTAGTTACACTTAGATCGTGTGTTTCTGTGTTTTTTTGTGAGATGAAGTTCCTCACGGATGAATAAAGTTATTTGGATTGAATTGAATTGTGTTCTCTGCAACACAAAAAAACAGTAATTCTTTTAATACAGGTCTCAAGCGACTGCTACAGAAATTCAAGAGCGGCGTCTATGGCACTTTGGAAGCCTTTGTTTCTCTCTATAGCACAAGGCCTCAGCTGCTCCACTCGCGTCGCAATAATGAGAAGCCTGTTCGAGCGTGAATAGATTTTCAGAGATGAGCAGCGGCCAATATTCTCTGACCAAGATCAAGTCACACACACAGAAGATCCTCTGCCAAATCCAATATAACACCAGCATGGAATGGAGGCAGTTGTTTGCGAGGAGAGTGGGAGGAGACTGATAGGAGACTGGTAAGACACTGGTAAGAGACTGGTAGGAGACTGATGGGAGACTGGTAGAAGACTGAAAAGGAGACTGGTAAGACACTGGTAAGAGACTGGTAGGAGACTGAAAAGGAGACTGGTAGGAGACTGGTAAGAGACTGGTAAGAGACTGGTAGGAGACTGATGGGAGACTGGTAGAAGACTGAAAAGGAGACTGGTAAGAGACTGATCTAAGACTGGTAGGAGACTGTTAGGAGACTGATGCGAGACTGGTAAGAGACTGATGGGAGACTGGTAAGAGACTGGTAGGAGACTGTTAGGAGACTGATGGGAGACTGGTAAGAGACTGATGGGAGACTGGTAAGAGACTGATGGGAGACTGGTAAGAGACTGATGGGAGACTGGTAGGAGACTGATGGGAGACTGGTAGGACACTGCTAGGAGACTCATAGACCACTGGAAGACCACTGGTGGACCAATGGTAGGAGACTGGTAGACCACTGGTAGGAGTCTGGTAGGAGACTGGTTTGAGACTAGTAGGCCACTGGTTGGACACTGGTGAAAGACTGCTAGGAGACTGGTAAGCCACTGGTAGAAGATTGGTTGGCGACTGCTCAGAGACTGCTAGACAACTGGTAGGCCACTGGTGGGACACTGGTAGGAGAATTGTGTGATGTCATTGTACCGCGATGACATCACGTTCAAAGCAGTATTTGAACTTGTTTTAAGGATCATTCATGCATCTTTGAGTCATTTATATTTTCCATTTGAGCTTAAAACCCTGTGATGAAAACCGTAACATGGTCAACACCCATAACAATATTTTTTTGACACTTTGTTGAAGGATTATGACGCCCAATGGACCTTTCCCTCTGCACACACTTTTATATTACAATCATTTTCCATCCTTGCAACAATAGAATGAGAAATGACAATGTCCGAGTGCAGTAGTTTCAAGGGGAAAGTTCTGTCCTTCAATAACTTGTACCACATTCAAATGCAAAGCAGGGTATAAGTCTTTAACAAAATGAAAAGGACTTTGCGATATTAAAGGGAAGCGGATGGTGATTTGTCCGATATGCTAACAGCAATCTGAGGAAAAATTGGAGGGCAGTGAGTGGTAAAAAGCCTGATATTTCAGGGAGCAATATTTATATAATTCAACTGGATAAAAGTTTGTTAACATTATAAAAGAATGAGAATAAAAATGTGTCTTTTGTCAGTGGACATACAGACCTCTCTTGTCTCAGTATACATGCAAGTTCAGACCACTTTCATTTTTTACACACCAAAACGTGCTTCGGTGAACATACTCAAATCAGGTCAAAATCTTAAGCTGTGTTCACACCGCCGATGCATGGACGTACTTTCACTAAATATCAACTGCATGAGTTTAGTCAACCTGACCAGAGCTGGGCAGCTCTGACTGCCTCCCCCCGACCCAGAAATGGACTAAGGGGATGAAAATGGATTGATGGATGAGTTTCAGGCTAGTTTGCCAATCAATGAATGAATGAATTTACTCACAGTAAATGTACTCAATATCAAACATGCAATAACAACAACAAACTAATAGTACTTAATAACAGTATTATTCTCCCACTCTCCTCTCAGTTCTAACATGACAATTCCAAGGTAAAAAAAATATGTTGTACTCAATTCTGTATCAAGATATGTAAAATGTCCAGAAGTTTCACGATTGAATGACTTCCAATGTCTGTCTGATTGGGCCCAGCAGTTTCTTTTCTTTAATTACATTTATAACCAAATAACCTCAGTACACAATATTAATCCCATTTCAATTCTGTACGTATTGCTTTTAGACAGTTTTGTTCTGCTTCGGTGTGCAACCCATATTAATAATAATATACTCTGGGCATTGGTGATTTGTTGTATACATGGCTGGCTCTGCTCTGTAATTGCGTTCAGAGGACATGCTTTTTGCCCTGAGATATGTCACATTATGTACACATCTTATGCATGGCTAAACTTAAAACATAGCTGACATTCTCCAGGATTCTCACTCTATCATATGAAACCCACATCCGTATTTTTAGCCTGCGTCTGAGGTTTTGATTCGAGAGAAATTGAAAATAGGGAGTGTGTTTAGCCCCCTGTCGAGTGAAGGCAGCTGCTTGTCTAAAGAATGGAAAGACTTGAGTGTGATATCGTTGTTATTTAATCCTAAACAATTGTGTAATCACTCTATTTAAAGGTTTTTCATCACAGATTTCAGATCATGCAATGGTCTGGACGTGGTGGTAATGAAACTAGGACAACTGAGTAAGCTATACAGTATATGAAGCTTATAAATCTGGTCGGACAATGCAAAAACAATATTTAAGGATAAATTCGCACAATGATTTGAATATAATAATAATTTTAGTAATAATAATAACTTAATAACACCCACCTAAAGCACACGCTTCAATGTTCCCTTTCGTTTCCTGTCCTACACCTTCTTCTTTGCTTCTTTTCACTTATAGTACATTATTGTGTCCATGTTTGTCTCATTTTTGTATTGTTGAGTAAAATGTTAATAAAAGCATAATAATAATAATATTAATGACTTTATAAAACCAAACAATTTATTTAGATTTAGCCATTATCTAATCGTTATTATTCCTCCCTCTGGGGGTAGCAGAGGGAGTTACAGGCAGAAAGGTTTTTTTCAACTCGTTTCACCATATATTTTCAACTAAAGATTTATTTTTCATTCTAAATCATCAAATGACAAGTATACAGAGTCATTAAAAACAGCCAAAAAGAATGCATTATATTTTTTCTTGTAACAAAATTGAGAGAAATTAATATCAGATCTTTTCACATAAAGTGGAAAAGAGTGACCAGCGAATGCACTTTGGATAATTCTTTTGTGTTTTTCCCTCTGCTTCCAGGAGCATTCGCTGTCTCCGGAACATCATCCACTGGAACCTCATCGCTACGTTCATTCTCAGAAACATTATGTGGTTTTTACTGCAGTTCATCGACCACAACGTCCACGAGAGCAACGAGGTAAAGCTCTCTGTTTTAACATGTCAGAGAAAACAAGCTGAGAAGTTCAATGGGCTAACGATAATTGTGAAGGAAGTCATACACCCATTTTCACCAGATTTAGAGGACAAAACAATATTCTTGTATGATAAATAAATACAGTACTTTCTGGACTAAAAGCAGCTATTTTTTTATTTTCATAAAGGCCATGGTGACTATGTAGTTGTATTTTGTTCACCTTCCCCTGGGTTTAGGTAAATGTCGGAAATGTTCTGAATCATCACTGTCCTTAGACCCTTCTGCATCTGAAAAGTAACAACTCAGGCCCCGTTTAGTCTCGGACAATGCAAAGCAATTAGCAAAAACTGGTTGTTTTTGCTAATTGCTTTGCAGTGTCCGACTCCTTATTCAAAATGCACAGCGTCTACACAACGATGGAAAACAATGGAGTATAGCGTCCGGACAGTAGTAGCCTGGTTGTACCACACCTTAGTACAAATTTCGTTTCATACTAAGGTCTGGATTTGCTCCATTGAGCTCCGTTTACAGGTGGGAGGGGTTAACTCCTTTTGCAGATTGAAACGATTGGATCTGAGTTTACCGTGACGTATGTAATGCGCCCGAGTGAGTTGTTAGCATTTAGCCATTTTAGCGGAATTTTGCCGCTAACGGAGCCCGTGGGGAGTAGCGCCACAATCTTGACCAGCGATTACATTTGCTAAACATTCCTCTTGCTCCTGCTTCAATTTCTTGATAGAACCAGACTGGATTACTTTACTATCGCATTCTTCGCCATTGCCAAACTACAACCTGCCCGTTCGGCGCAAACTCTTGACGTCACCGGCACCGACGGTGACGGTATTCACTAACTCAGGGACCAGACCCAGACCGTTATATGCAGTGAAATGATGATTGAGCGGAGTGTACGGATGGCTATGGCCAGGCTTGGCCAGTAGCAGTACAACTACTTCCTCAACAACATCCTCCTCAAGCCACTGCAAAGACGTTTTTCCTCTCCTGAAACACCGTCTTCATGTAAAGGAAAGGCCAAACCGATATCCCACTCTACCGTTTTATTGTCGCAGCGTCCTTGTGTAAACCGTTACTCAAAAACTCAGTTGGAAAATGGTAAGAAACTATGGGGAGGCCCGCATTGAGAGAGGGATCCACTCCCACAGGCAAGCTATAGATCCAGGACTCAAGGACCATAAAAAACAAAATAGATTGGATTTACCCGCGGGCTTTGATCATCACAAGTCAGATGTGAGTTAAAACACAATAATAATAACTTCTGTCAGTGTGCCGCAGGGCAGCTGTGGCTACAACAGTAGTTTATCACCACTGTGTATGGAGTGAATAATGACACGTCTTTGAGCGCCCAAAAAAAGCACTACATAAAACCAATGCATAATATTTGTTTTTTAACACTGCTTGAGAAGTGTCAAAGCTTCGCCGACATCGAACAACATTTTGGAACGTGTTATTGATCCCAAACCTGCAATAAGAGTCAGACATGTTCAGAGACAAGAGCGGCTGTGATGATGCTCCAGCCGCACAATGCTTCCCTCGGCGTTTCAGAGCGGCGTGTTCGCAGCCAAAACATCAAAAGTGCCAAAAGGTTTGTGAGAGCTCGAAGAGAGATAGAAATACATGTTTTACTCCAACTTCAACACAAATATTGAAGCATTTGTAGCTAGCTAAGCAACATAGAAGATATTTACAGTATATTGTATGTTTTGTGTGCTCCCCGTGTGCTCTTACTACTGTCATGTGTGTGCGCTGCAACATTGACATTTTCCCACTGCACGACAAATACAAGTTCTCTTATCTTGTCTCATCTATTTCAAGCTGCTAATGTACAGTGATACTTTTACAATGCAAAATTTTGGATCCATTTTCATGATCTTTTATAAATCTTTGGTTGTTTGGATAAGAAATGACAGTGATATTTGAGATGTGAAATAAAGTTTGTATCATTCACAGAAAGTGCAGTGCAAGAATTATTTCAGCCAAATTGGGCATGTGCATAGATTTAGGCAACACAAAAGAAAAATAACTCAAAGTTTTGTACATCCACCTTTGGCAAATATAACAGCCTCTAATCGCTTAGTATTCCGTACAACACGGCAACGCTAAATGCACTGCAAAAAATGATAAAATATGAGGTTAAAATTGCTTTAATCGAGTGGTTTTTATCTTAATTTGAGTATATTCTCCGTTACGATTCACCAATGGGACAAAGCCATTTAGTCTTATTTCAAGAACTGTTGCTTTATTTTCTCATTCCAAGTGAGACATTTCTTGTATTTTTTTAAAAAAAGATTTCAGATCTTGTTTTAAGGCAGTCAAAATGTGCTCAAAATCAGATACATCTGGCCAAACTTGGGCAATTTTGTACTTATTTTTCAAATTTTTTGCAGTGTGTAACCTGAAACTTTGCCTTTTACTGTGTTTAAACTGTTTGATTCTTTGGTGATGATCCAGGACACTCGACATTCAACAACATTTATGGATATTTATCAACATCTGCCCCTTATGGAACAATGGCTCTATGTGTTTTTTATCATTGCATTTCTTGAGTTTGAACTGTTTGATTCTCTGATCTGTGTTGGCGAGTTCAACGGTTTTGTTAAGTCCTTTGAGATAACCACTGTTTTGATTTAGGGCTAAACATAAATACATTGAATGGAATTGAATTGAAATGAAATGACGTTGTTTCTCTGCAGCCCTGGTGTCGGCTCATCACCACCATCTACAACTACTTTGTGGTGACCAACTTCTTCTGGATGTTTGTGGAGGGCTGTTATCTGCACACGGCCATCGTCATGACCTACTCCACAGACAAGCTCCGGAAGTGGGTTTTCCTCTTCATCGGCTGGTGTGAGTACAGCAACACACTTGTTTACAACAACAAACGCTTCCTTCAAAAAAATATCTCACGCCACAACGCATTCCTAGATCCTTATCCTTTTGCCAAATGCCTTTGAACATTAAAAACACGAGAAGTGAGTGCATACAGAGATCAGAGTAATATAATACAAGGTAAACGGGAGAAGTTAGGGGCTCTTCAAGGATCTGTGGGAAAAAAGTGTAGAATTTTAAAGAGGTCCTTTCCTCTTTGCATTCAATCTTTGAAAGATGTTTGTTTTGTCTGCTGTTTTTGACCATTGATTTTTTCCTAATCAAAATTGGCAACTGTTGTAGTGATTTTGAGCTGGATAAAAGACAAATTACATACGGTTTATAGTCACATTTAGTTATTAAATCTATATGTTTCCTAAATACATGTTCCAACAGATGTAGTTTTTGTGTGTGTGTGTGTGCGTGTGTATATGTGTGTTTGTGTCTGTGTGTGTATGTGTGAACAAATCAGACTCTGACATGCCTTTCTTTATCTCATAACAAAACATTTTATCTTTCAAACATTGAGAGCTGATTGGCTGAGAGAGGTGTGTGTGTGTGTGCGTGTGTTTGTGTGTGTGTGTGTGTCCGTGTGTGAAAAAATCAGACCCCAACATGTATTTCGTTAACCTCATAAGAAAAAAAATCACTTTGACACACTGCCCACTTTTTCCATTTTTCTTCCCAAAAACTGTTTTGAGAGACAGTAAAGAATTCTTACACCAACATAGACTTTTTACCCATTCTTCTCTGATCAAATGCACTCATCCTACAGAAAATGAATTTACAAAAAACTAGCACCACCAACCCAACCCACATTGGAATGTCCTGAACGCCATTCCCCAACCTCTCCCACAGCCCCGACACTCCAAACACAAGCTTATTTGTATAGCACAGTTCATACCATCTCCCACAAAGATACATAAATGCCGCCTCCTCGCGCCACATAAATTACCCATCACCTTGACTCTTTTTGGCCACGCTGCGCCGCTTCCATGCTGTGTAATTGTGTAAAAAACCTTCTAACTTAATGTCATTATGATCCCTCATATAGATAATGGACATAATGTTGGGTGAAGCAGAGGGTGGGGGGGGAGTGGGCATCCTCGTCTACATGTAGGTCAAATTAAAGTGACTGGGAACGTAATGCATTGCAACAGATAACAGAAGCTGATGCAAAGAGAGGCGTCCTGATTGGAAGTGACAGACCAATGATAAGGAGAGAAACGCAAAGATGGCCGTGGAGACTGCTTGTTCATGGAAATCTAATTTGAATGGGCTAATGGGGGGTAGAATCTATCTCGCTCTCGTCGCAGGATCCGAGCTAATGGGCGCTGGTGGAAATAAAAAATATGAAGATGGAGCAGTTTGGGCAATTTTACAAGATGGTTTGATATGATATAAAAGTGTTACATGTTGTGTTGCTGTGGGATTTGTGGTAATAGAGGTTTTTTATGGGGGAAAAGTTGAGGTCGTAAATGACTGTTTTAAGGCGTCATTCAAACTTGATTGTTGAAGGAATAGTTAGAAGTATTTGCCTGTAGAATATGTTGGTGCTATATTGTTATTTATTTGTGTTTTTGAGATTTCTGGAAGAGATATACGCAATTTTTTTCATTCAATTGCTTTCGAGCTGTTTATTTTTTTTATTAAAAGCTGGGGTACCTAACTTTGAAACCACACATCAACCACAAATTAACGATTAAATTCAATTCAATATACTTTCGATAAGTCCTAAATTACAGCAGCAGTTGTGTGAAAAAGTTTTTGTTTCACCAACGACGAAGAATCAAAACGAAATTTTAACATAGACCTATAGAAGCCATTGGGCCATAGGGAGCGGGATGACCAGATCCCCGGTGTCCATGAATTTTAATAAAAGTTAATACATTTCCATATACTGTATGTTAATAAATGTCATAACAGACGAACAGGCTGAAGGACTGTAAAACCAGGACTGAGGCTGTAAAACCAGGACTGAGACTGTAAAACCAGGACTGAAGCTGTAAAACCAGGACTGAGGCTGTAAAACCAGGACTGAGGCTGTAAAACCAGGACTGAGGCTGTAAAACCAGGACTGAAGCTGTAAAACCAGGACTGAGGCTGTAAAACCAGGACTGAGGCTGTGTGCTGCAATACTGAAGGTTCCCAGGCAGGTTATTCGAAACCTGCGGCTAAAATGTATTTTCTATTGTGATAGAGTTGGGCTGTTGTCAGTGCAGTGTTTATGGATTTAATATTGTGACTCCATCAGGTTTTTGTAGCTATAAGACACGCTTTTATTTTCACAATAGACAGAGACGCTGTTAAACACCTCATCATTCAATCATGTTAAAACATCACTGGTCTTTTACATTACAACATGAAAACCTGCAGCTTAGATTCAGATGTGGCCTATTCAGATAAGATTAAAGATATATAGGAGGATTTTCTCCTTTGGGGTGGATCATGAAGACTATTGTTCCTTCTAATTGTCTATTCTGTCATTCTGGTGATTCGTGCTCGTCAAATAAGACCAGAGAGTTTTGTTCAAAAAGTTGAGAGAGCGGTTCTTTCCTGAAAGTTGAGATAATCCTCCTGTATACCTTTAACATATCCTTTATTCGTCCCACAGCGGGGGAATATCAGTGTTGAATCACCAGTTACAGAACAGTAAGAATGAGTAGCACAAGATAAATGAACAATAACTATACTGATTAAGATAAAATAAAAATCTCTAACTACAATTTACACACAATTTATTCTTGTATAGCCCTAGGTCACAACAGAAGTCATCTCAGAGGACTTAACAAAACCATTGAAATCACCAACACAGGTCAGAAAATCAACAGTTAAACACATGGAGAATATAAAGCACACACAGAAGAAAATGTCCATACATGTTGTAGAATGCTAAAGTGTCCTGATCATCACCAATCCTTTCTGTTGGACACTAACTGTCCAACAAGACCCTCCTGCATCGACAAGGAAAAACTCTTAAAAAACCCAGTGGGAAAAGGTGAGAAACCTTGGGGAGAACTAGGGAAACCCACAGGGAGGGAGACCCATATGAGAAAGGGATCCGCTCCTCCGGACGGACAGGCTAATGATCTAGGACCTAAGCTAGCTACAGGACGTGGACCAGTGGACGCTGAACGTGGACAGGTCCGGTGCAGGACTGAAGCACTCCCAGGCGGGTCGGGCGGGGCAGTCCGCAGGTGCAGATGGAGGAGGCCAGGCTCAGAGATCCCGTCATCGTACCATGAAACAGACAATGGGACAACGGGTGAATAGCAATGAATAAACTACAGTCAGAATCCTAAAAGTGCTAAATAGATAAAGTAGATAAAGTAGGAAGGAGGAGAGGATAGTGCTCAAGTTACCATACTTCTCCAGCAGGGGGCTCCCTATGCAGCTTGACTGACAGTCTGAGGAGTTTAGCCTTCCCTGAGTCTTACCTTCCTAACCATATGCTAAACTAAAGAGGACTGTTTTAAACCTAGCCTTGAATAAAGAGATTCATGGATTGCACACCAGGTGTGCAAACCGATCCAAGCAAACCTAATTATATATTATATATCATATACATCATATATACCATACATACCATATATATCATATATAATACACAACATAACATACAGCATAATATATAACATAATATACAACATAACACAATACATGATTGTATAATATATAACATAATATACAACAACATACAGCATATATATATATAATATATACACCATATATTATATATTACCTAATTATATACTAAATTAAAGTAAAGTGCTTTAAGCCTGGCCTTGAATGTGGAGACCGTATCTGCTTCCTTAACATAAATGGGAAGCTGATTCCACAGTAAAGGAGCTTGGTAGCTAAATGCTCTGCCACCAACAGTGACCTTTGAGACCTTAGGGACCACCAGACGTCTGGCGTTTTGTGAGCGCAACGCTCGACTTGGTTGATACGACACTAACGTGTCTTGGAGATAAGTAAGTAAGTAAGTAAGTAAGCTTTATTTATATACCGCCTTTCACAGACCAGAGTCACAAAGCGGTTTACAATTGTTATTTTTTGGGCACTTGTCTCTCACTCCACACAGAGATGGGAGCGGGGTCGCCGAACAGGAGGCGCATGCCAGACCTATTGTACATATTTTTAGTGGTAGGGGAAACCGGAGTACCCGGAGGAAACCTACGCAGACACGGGGAGAACATGCAAACTCCACTCAGAAAGGCCCTGGTCCGGCCGGGATTCAAACCCAGGACCTTCTTGCTGAGAGGCGAGAGTGCTATCCACTCAGCCACCGTGCCGCCGAAATAAGAGGGAGCCAAGCCATTTATGGCTTTATATGTTAAGAGAAGGATTTTAAACTTTATTCTGTACTCCACAGGGAGCCAGTGGAGTGATTTTAACACCGGAGTTATGTGCTCCCTCCTTTTGGTACCTGTTAAGATCCTAGCTGCTGTATTCTGAACGAGCTGGAAGCTCTTCAAAGAGGCTTTAGGGCACGCTGCCAGTAAAGCGTTACAGTAGTCGAGCCTTGAGGTGACAAACGCGTGAATGAGTTTTTCCGCGTCACTTTTAGGAAGGAAATTCCTAATTTTAGCGATGTTCCGTAAGTGGAAGTACGCCGTTTTAGTTGCTTGGCTTATATAAGCCTTGAAGGAGAGTTCTTGGTCAAAAATGACTCCAAGATTCCTCACAGTGTTACTGGGTATAACTCTAGCATGAAGAAGAAACAAGTATAAAATCTCTATCTTCAACATAAGGAGAACAAAAAACTCTGACTTTAGCAGTGTAAAGGAGTATAAAATCCCATCCTTTGGCATCGTAAGAGGCAAGTCTAAAGTACTGTGTATTCTAGTGCAAGTAATATATATGTGAACAAAATGTGACTTCTTTGAAAGTGTTGCTGCTGCGGCTTACACACAAGTCTACTGTATATACAGCGCCTACACTAGCCCAGAAAGTAGGGTATATACTGTATACTGGATAATTGCCACACGAGAATTCCCATTACTACATCCATGTTGTTCATAGTGATATTTAATTAGCATTCATTGGGCGGCGACAGAAGTCTGCTTAATGACTTGTGTCCATGTCCTGATACACAGCGAGGCCTGCTTCAATCATCTCTCCTGTTTGAACTCCCGCAATGCTTATTGTTGACCATGATTCACAGCAATTAGCAGCGTCTCGTAGCTTGTGCTGCTAAAGCCTTGGGCCTTTCTGGGAATTGCTTTTGAATTATGGTTGAAAGTAAACAAGAAACAAGTGTAGAAGAAGTAACAAAAAATAGAGTTTTGACTTTCCAGGTAAAGGCAAATTATGAAGATCCTAGAAAAGTGCAGAAGAAGGTTGCACCAGTCCCAAGGAGGCACTTACATCTACATGTAAGGATGAAATAATAGGTTGAAAATTGGTTATAGGGTAATGTTGTCAAACGTTAAATGTAGATTGTTCATTAGTATAAGAGTACTAAAAGTCAGTCTTTTCTTTCTGCCTTGAGTAAGTTTCACTGCTTATGCCTCTTTACTGCAAAATATACGGCTATTGTCACTGAAAATATTGCTATAGGGCTGGAAAGTCTCGTCCCAGAAGCACTTCCAGTTCATTGCTCGGATACAAACAAACCGCCAGCTGTTTGAAGAGGCGATTTAATTGAATGGTGCATAATGCTCTGCTTTATTTTCGGCTGTAATCATTTAAGTTTACACGACGCATGCAAATTTTTTAGGTTTCCCAAAGACCAACTGAAGCTGTGGGAAAACCTATGCAGTTCTGATAAAACATGTTGTCTGATTTTACAGACGGTTAACTTGAACATGTATTCAAGCTAACTTGTAGCTAATGCTAACCTGTAATAGTGCGCGGCCAAGCCTTTATTTGTGGCTTGTATTCTAAGATATGATAAGAAATGTTATTGATGTCACACAGGAGAAATATTGTCTCTCAAATATGTATTTTTTTTGAGAGATAAAGGAGGAACATATTAACACGTATTAAATAACATTTAACAAATGTTCAAATATAACAGAAAACGGACAATCATTAGTATTAAATGAATAGATAACCCAACTACATCATGTTATTTTTGACAGCACAGCAAAAAGGAAAAAGGCCCAATGTGAAGCTGCAGTGAGTGTGAAGTGGAGATGGAGCTGATGAACAGATAGAAAACTGATCATTCATAAACATTGGCTTATAACCAACGCAGCAAAGACAGCTGTAAGGGACTTCAATGTATTTGCATGGGAATAGTGTTTCTATATTTTCTTTCTGATGCATGATTCAAATACAATAAGTTTGAACACGGCCCTGCACCTTTCTCATCTCCCCGTCATATGGAAACGTCAGCACGTGGCCCGTTCACAGCTAATTCCGACCGTTCACTCAGTTTTTCTGTCCCAGAGACGAAATGTGTCCAAAATAACATGGGAAGGCCATTAAGGAGGAAGAAGTCGGCGATCTCCGCACCACACAACTGGCACGTGTGGTTTGTTTGTATCCACAGGTGGAAATCTCGCAAAATCTCGCACTTCCACTTTCCAGCCCTATAAAGGCAACATTATTTGCAAGATCCAGTTGTTTTGACGTCCATCCTGGCTAAGATCAGGAACTTCTGGCACAAATCTGTAACTCCGCCCCTTCTGTCATCATCTTGTAATAGTATGATGTCATTGTACTTCTATGACATCACCCTCCGAGCATTTTACTGCATTACAACCTGGCTCTCTAGGCTATAACCAAAGATGCACCAGACAAACGTACGGCAATTATGAAATAGTTTATAATGAATGAAAGCAAATGGTGGTCTAGTTTGAAAGGCTTGATATTCAAAAAAAAATTAAAAGTAAAAGCAGTTTTTTACCGGGTATAAAACATCTGGGGTTAGGGTAAGACAGGTAGGATCTCTGATGTTTTAATGATCATGTCCTTGTCGTGTTGCAGGTATTCCATTCCCTATAATCGTGGCCTGGGCCATCGGGAAACTCTACAATGAAAACGAACAGTAAGTATCCGCATTTTCATACAGAACGATTTGTCTCGAACTTTAACTGAGGACTTTGGTTTGACGTGATCATTGGGCAATTTCAGCCTTGTCCACCACATTCAGACAGGCGTGAAAATGGTAGATTGAATGTTTTAGGGAGGCTACAAGTAATCTCCAGTGATACGCTAAAGGCAGATATGTGATCCAAAATGTGGCTGTGCCCTTAGATAATGTAATCAATGTAAACCAACTAAAATGTATGTTGGGAATGTCAAAGGAAATGATATAAACCTGTCGCATTTTCATTAGTGTTTTCATTAGTGTTTTTTTTTTTTTAGGTGCTGGTTTGGAAAAGAACCTGGGAAATACATGGACTATATTTACCAGGGACCAGTCATCCTAGTGCTTTTGGTGAGTATGTGTATGTTCGATGACCATGCTTTTAATCCTAGGCCTCTATGCTCTTAGCCTGGCCTTATCCATCCGTACACTCCGCTCAATAATAATTTCCTGGCTGTAATGTCTGGGTCTGGTCCCTTTGTTTACGATTACAATCGGTTGAATTCCATTCGACCAATCAGCGAACGCGGGAGGCGGGTGTTGTAGTTAATAGTGGGTGACGTTAAGAGTTTGCGCCGAACGGGCAGGTTGTAGTTTGGCAATGGCGAAGAATGTGATAGTAAAGTAATCCAGTCTGGTTCTATCGAGAAATTGAAGCTGGAGCAAGAGGAATGTTTAGCAAATGTAATCGCTGGTCAAGATTGTGGCGCTACTCTCCACGGGCTCCGTTAGCGGCAAAGAAGATGGCTAGGCTAAATGCTAACAACTCACTGACAAACGTCACGGTAAACTCACATCCAATCATTTCAATCTGCAAAAGGAGTTAACCCCTCCCACCTGTTCACGAAGCTCAATGGAGCAAATCCAGAAATTTGATTTGTACTATAGTGTGGTACGACCAGGCTACTATGCTCTGCCGTCTCCTGCCAAAATACTTGCCAATTTTCAAACATAAAACAATTAGCTTTTAACATTTTCTTCCAAATGTAGTCACCATCAACAAGCACTGTTTTAACATCATAATGATACAGCACTTTAATGTGTTTTTATGAGACTTCCGCAACATGTAAGCCAATTGGGAAGTGAAAGTGAATTTGAAAAAAATATATTATATTAAAAAAAAAAACTGTCACTTGCAAAAGTATTTAACCCCCTTTCTTGCAACCAATTACCCTTAGAAGTTGAATGATTGTATGACTGGACCTAACTTCTTGGTAGAGTCTAATATTTGCTTCCTTATTATGGAAAAGTTAGATATTTTATTTTAATTTATGTTAGCGTTATTGCTCATTTATCTTGTGTTCTGTGCTCTTCATTCCTACTGTAACCTCTAATGCAACACTGAAATTTCCCCACTGTGGGACGTATGAAGAATTTAACCTTCAAATCGTCACATCTTAATCTATATGTTTCATGCGTAGCGCAGGTTTAGAACTTGACAGAACGCTAAACACAGAGGAAGTTTTACACGCACTCCCTTTAATGACACCAGCAGCTGTGAATCCTCAATCAGGCCTCAGGGTGAATCCCAGTGGGTGGTTTTGTCTACGTTTGCGGAGGTCGCTAACGTGCTAATGGTGCCGCCCTGTCGTTAGCGCCTCGCTCTCGGACTCGGAGGTGGTTTGGACTCCGTGACCTCTCCTCCTCCGTACCCCTGACTTTGTATTATTTTTTGTATACTGTACGCACATTTTGAATTGTATTTTGTCTGTTTTTACCTGTTTAAACTGTGAAGCGCTTTGTGGCCTTGGTCTGTGAAAGGCGCTGTATAAATAAAGCTTACTTACTTACTTACTTACTTACCTGACCGTAATGAGCTCAGTCAAAGCCAGTTCTCCTGCTTCCTTCCTGTGGATTTCATTACTCAGAAGTGAAGGCAGAGGCGCACGGCCACGGCTGCAGATGCATTATTGTTGACGTGCGCGAGAAATGGCCTCAGCGGCTGTAGGTGCCCAAAGCTCTACTTTTTACGCAATAGTCAAAGGTCAATCATAGCACCTCCCCCAAAGGGCATATTAACTTCAAACCTGCGTTTTGGAAAAAAAAGAAAAAAAAAAACCCTTTAATGTTCCTTCCTTGAAGAATGCAATGTATTTTAATAATTTTTAAGATGTAGGAGCACTAATAACACTTATAATAGTTTTTTTGTACTTGTTTTTTAGAACCCCTAGTTTTGTTTTTACTGTTTACCAAATGGTTGAGATGCAGTTGGATGGTTAAAGTGCCTAAAACCAAACGATAGAGATGTCCCAATAAGGTAAATTTCAGTTCCAAACTTCAAGTAGATATAGCGACTCAAAAGTGTATTAACCAAATGGTTGAGGAAACCATTAAAGGGTTATGACCAACAACCTTTAAAACAATCAAGAGGCCGATCACATTTTTACATACTGTACTTTCTGGACTATAAGGCGCAAATGCTGCTTAAGTGGAAGTTCAGACTGGTAGACTATCCACCGCACCAGCCTGGCCCCTTCCTTCCTCGGTCTTTCGCATCAGCTTCGTCAACAGTTTAGGAGACCTTTAAAGGGTTAAGATGGAAGTTGAGCCCCATAGATACCTGTTCGCAAAAATGAAGCAAAGAAGATTCAATGTTAACCATTGTTCACCTCCTTTTCAAGCATATACAGAGAATCTTTGAATATATTTGCAAAAGGAATTAATTCACAAATTTCCAAATGTATCTTTGATTACTTTTCAAATGCTAGAGACTATATACTTACTTCTTTACTATGCTAAAGCTAGAGACTTTATACTTGCTTCTTTACTATGCTAAAGCTAGGGACTTTATACTTGCTTCTTTACTATGCTAAAGCTAGAGACTATATACTTGCTTCTTTACTATGCTAAAGCTAGAGACTTTATACTTACTTCTTTACTATGCTAAAGCTAGAGACTTTATACTTACTTCTTTACTATGCTAAAGCTAGAGACTTTATATTTACTTCTTTACTATGCTAAAGCTAGAGACTATATACTTACTTCTTTACTATGCTAAAGCTAGAGACTATATACTTACTTCTTTACTATGCTAAGGCTAGAGACTTTATACTTGCTTCTTTACTATGCTAAAGCTAGAGACTTTATACTTGCTTCTTTACTATGCTAAGGCTAGAGACTTTATACTTGCTTCTTTACTATGCTAAAGCTAGAGACTTTATACTTGCTTCTTTACTATGCTAAAGCTAGAGACTAAATACTTACTTCTTTACTATGCTAAAGCTAGAGACTTTATACTTACTTCTTTACTTTGCTAAAGCTAGAGACTTTATACTTGCTTCTTTACTATGCTAAGGCTAGAGACTTTATACTTGCTTCTTTACTATGCTAAAGCTAGAGACTTTATACTTGCTTCTTTACTATGCTAAGGCTAGAGACTTTATACTTGCTTCTTTACTATGCTAAATATAAAAAATAAGAGAGTTTTTACCCCAAAACATCTAAAAAGCGATGCCTGGAAGTACTTTGTTCAGGAGAAGGTCGGATTAGGAAGTCATGTAACGCACGTCCAAACATATATTTGAATATTCATGTTATTAGTAGAGAGAACATCATTTTTTGAGAAATCTTGACAGTCCTAAAAGCAGAGTGCAGCCATATTTGCTTTTCAAAAAACTCCAAAATATGACAATTTGTCCTTTTCTGATAAGAAGTGTTATTCATTTTCAGAACCCAGCAGGTCGTGGTCAAATAGACACGACGGGGCATCAAAGGCAGCCACATGTGTGCTTGTCCCATCGGCAACGCTTGTTATAAGAAAGTCAGAATGCCCTTTTGTTACTTTTTGCAAATATCTGGGGGTGCAGTTGGCTCGCCTATGGAGCTGTTACCCACAAACATAGGCAGTCTCTCTCTGTAGAAGGCTTCGGCCACAACTTTTGAGCGATATTCTAATTTTCAGAGTTTCACCTCTATATTCTTGAGTACTCAGTCTACGACACATTTTTTCCTGCAGGGGACATTACTGTTTGTTCTATTCTTCAGATAAACTTTGTGTTTCTCTTCAACATCGTGAGGATCCTCATGACCAAACTGAGAGCCTCCACCACCTCAGAAACCATACAGTACAGGTAAGATCTGCGGACTGAAAATACGGAAAGTAGAGATGGGGGAAACCGTTTTTTATCCAATTTATTTGGAATTTATTAAATTTTATACAAATATACTCATATATATATACTGGAATGATTTATGTCTACATTTTACAAGCTACAGTATAGTATTTCTAGTATTAATAGCTACTTTTATCATCTTTTATTTTGGTTTAAACATTTTATTTTGCATACATGTGAGTGAATATACTATGTCTATGTGCGGCACTGGGAACTGTTTCTAAAATGTGCTCCACAAATTAACTGGAGTTGGAATAACAGTGTATTACTATTGTATGTTGTATGATATCTTCTGTTGCACACATCCAAATAAAATGGTAATGAGTAGAAGATATTATTCAAAACAGCAAAAATATATACTTGTGAAAAGGCCGGGAATACAAACATGTACTAATTTCATGGCAGATTGTAACCACGGTTCTCTTAAAGGACAACTCACCCTCAAATCCACTTTTTTTTGCTGATAAACGGTATAAATGAGTGTCCAATAGTGTTGTCTACATATCCTGGTCATAATCTTGTCACTTTGGTGCAAATTAGTTGAAAGTTAAACTTTCTGCCTAAAACCGTCTGTGAGGCGTCATCTGCTGGCGACCTGTATTACTACATTTGAATTTTGAATCTGGCGCCAACACTGGCACAGAAGTTGGACCTGACGTCTGCAAGTTGGACCTGACGTCTGCAAGTTGGACCTGACGTCAGCAGCCCCCCGCCCAGAGCAATGTAAACGGCCCAGTCTCGTTCACGCCCCTTTAGTCCTCCAGGCTACGCCCATTTAGAGGAAGATTTGAACAGGAAATGTGAGTAACGTAAGCTCTGAGGAGCGGGGGTGAGAACCACTTTAATCAATCAATCAATTAACGTTTATTTATAGAGCGCCTTTCCTACACAAGGCAACGCAAAGCGCCTCACAACCCATATAACATCATGCATAAATCATCAAACATTAGAATTTAAGTAAACATAAAAAGACAGATTAAGAGCACAAGATATATAAAATTACACAAGTAGTTAAAAACCGTAAAAAATTAAAATCACACAAGGGATTACAATCATAAATAATCATAAATAATCATAGCGCATTAAAAAGATTAAAGATAAAAACAAATGTAAAATCATTCACTTGTATGCACAGCTAAAAAGAACTGTTTTCAGTTCAGTTTTAAAAACTGCTAGAGTAGACGCCTGTCTCACACTCTCGGGAAGACGGTTCCAGACTCTAGCTGCATGAATCTGAAACGCAGCCTCCCCATGTCTAGTTCCGACTCTTGGCACTAACAGAAGTCCAGTCCCTGTGCTCCTCAGAGCCCGAGTTGGTTCATATGGCACCAACATGTCGCGGATGTACCCTGGTGCGAGGCCATGGAGAGACTTGTACACAAGTAAAGCTACTTTAAAATCTATTCTCTGAGCCACAGGAAGCCAGTGCAGAGACCTGAGGACCGGACTAATGTGGTCGTACTTCCTGGTTCTAGTCAGGACTCGAGCTGCAGCATTTTGGATGTACTGCAGCTGTTTTACCGCTTGTTTAGAGAGACCTGTGAACAAGCCATTGCAGTAGTCCAATCGACTGGAGACAAATGCGTGGATAAGAATCTCCAAGTCTGCTTTAGACACAATGTTTTTAATTTTAGCAATGTTTCTTAGGTGGAAGTAAGCTGATGATGTCACAGATGATATGTGGCTATTGAAATTCAAGTCTGAGTCCATTATTACTCCTAGATTTCTGACCTGAGTTGAGGGTTTCAGGGAGAGAGACTGGAGGTGGCAGATAACGCTCTCTCTTTGTTTCTGAGGTCCGAAAACAATAATTTCAGTTTTTTCTGTGTTTAGCTGGAGAAAGTTATTTTGCATCCAATCACTGATCTGTTGGATACAGTGAAGGAGCGAGTCCACTGGTCCATGTTCTCCTGCTGTCAGGGACACATAGACCTGAGTATCGTCAGCGTAATTGTGATAGGACACGTTATTACTGTGTATTAACCTACCCAGAGGCAGCATGTAAATATTAAACAGGAGAGGCCCCAGGATTGAGCCCTGTGGCACTCCGCAGGTCAGGGCCAGATGGTCTGAGACACAGTTTCCGATCTCCACAAAATACTTTCTGTCCTGTAGGTAGGATATAAACCAGCTTAGGGCTGTTCCAGAAACACCAACCCAGTCCTCAAGTCTCTGAATGAGGATACCATGATCGACAGTGTCGAAAGCAGCACTCAAATCTAACAGGATAAGAACTGAGACTTTTCCTGCGTCAGTGTTAAGTCTGATGTCATTTGTTACCTTCACTAGAGCGGTCTCTGTGCTGTGGTGGGGTCTAAAACCAGACTGGAACATATCAAAAGAGTGATTGATTATTAAAAATTCTGTAAGTTGGTGATAGACAACTTTTTCTAGAATTTTACCCATGAAAGGCAGATTTGAAATGGGCCGATAACTTTTAAGTGCCAAGGCATCCAGACTCCTCTTTTTTAGGAGGGGTCTGATGACTGCCGTTTTCAGGGCCATTGGGAATGTTCCAGATTCAAGAGACATATTTACTATATGCGTGAGTGAAGGTAAAAGACTGCTCAGAACAGATTTAAGAAATCTAGGAGGTAATACATCCAGGCTACATGTAGAAGAACTCAGACTTGTAATTATCATTTGGACAGTTTCATTTTGTACTGGTGTAAAGTGTGTCAGCCCAAAAAGCTTCACTGGCTGTTGGATTGTAATTTCTACTGTGGAGGTGATGGCATTTTTGATGCCTTGGACTTTGTCATTAAAAAACTCTGCAAACTCATTACATTTGGTTTTGGAGGTAAGCTCTGATGGCATCTTAACAGGGGGATTTGTCAATTTATTTACCGTTGAGAACAGAACGCGTAGATTGCCACTACAACCTTCGATTGTTTCGGAAAAATAAGTTTCCCTCGTTCTACGTAGCACACTGTTGAACTTGCACAATGCATCTTTGAAGATCTCATGGTCAACTTGGAGATTTGACTTTCGCCACTTCCGCTCGGCTCTCCGGCACTCTCTCTTCTGTGCCCTGACAGAGTCTGCTTTTGTCCATGGCGCCTTTTGCTTATTTGTAACAATTTTGACCTTTACAGGAGCAATCGTGTCCAGAACATCCAAAACACTAGAGGTGACAGAGTTAAGTAATTCATCCACAGTAGAACACAACGTGTTATCAAAGTTTATCATCCCCATGAAAAATTCACCTGTATTTTTGTTTATGTGTCTTCTTCTTCTAACAATTGAGGATTCAGCTCGTGCTTTACTATTGAGACACATATCAAAAAATACACAGAAATGATCTGACAGAGCAACATTGGCCACATTTACATTTGAGATATTAACCCCTTTAGTAATTAGCAGATCGAGAGTGTGTCCTCTGCTATGGGTGGGGCCACTCACATGCTGAGTGAGACCAAAGGTTTCCAGCACAGAGCTCAGCTCTTTCGCGTATCTATCATTAACGTTATCTACATGTATATTAAAATCACCTATGACGACTAAACTATCAAAGTCTGTGCACACAACTGAAAGCAACTCGGTGAAATGATCAGTGAAACTATGACATGACTGTGGCGGCTTGTACACAACAATAATAAGAATAGAAGATTGTTTTTGTTCTATTTTAAAAGAGACATACTCAAATGAGGAAAATTTCCCAAGAGGTACTCTATGGGAGACAATACAATCTTTAAAAACTGCTGCTGTGCCCTCCTCCTCTTTTATTTTCTCGAATTTCTGATTCAAATTTGAAATTTGGTGGTGTTGTTTCTATTAAAACTGCATTTTCTGTATTATGGTCAAGCCAAGTTTCAGTCATAAACATAAAGTCAAGATCATAAGAACAGATAAAATTATTAATTAAAAAGGATTTATTGCATAGTGATCTGACATTAAGCAGAGCAAGGTTAAAAATAATGTCAGTGTCAGTGGGTTTAGTTGATTGACTACAAAGAATTGGAATTAGATTTCCTGAGTTGGACCGTCTAACTGCTGTCCTTCTGTTATATTTGTGTTTATTCAAATTAAAACACATTTCTGAGCCGGTGCGAGGAACACACACTGTCTCTATTGGTTTAAAAAGTGAACTCTGTTTTACTTTGTTAAGTTCCAGATGCATGACTGAGTAAGTGCCGTTCAGTGGCAGGACTGGTATTACACTGCCAGACGGACAGGGGTCAGTGTTTGCACCACAGTACTCACCCGGTGCTGGAGTGGAGGAGGAAGGTGGTAGTGGGGGCCGAGAGGCCTCGGATGTAAACAGTCACGCCCCCCTCGGGGAGCACTGAACAACATGGCGTAAAAAGTCCATCAACAAAACTGGTGCCGTATCTGTTCGGGTGCAGACCGTCTGGACGATAGGCCACGTGACGCTTCCAGAACAGGCCAAAGTTGTTCACAAAAACAAAGTTAAAAGTGCTGCATGTAGACTGGAGCCACATATTCAGCGCCACAACGCGACTGTACAAGCAGTCTCCCCGGTTTACAGTCGGGACTGGACCAGAGATAAAAACACACAACCCAGAGGACTGGAGGAGGCGGAATAGATCCATAAAATGCTTCTTTGTGACCTCGGACTGCTGCAGCTTCATGTCGTTGATCCCCACATGCACGATTACCTTTGAAATGGTATCAGGCAGGGACTGAAGCAGAGGAGGGAGACGGATGAGCAGGTCTGGTACAGTGGCTCCGGGAAAACACTGAGTGACCGCGTTAAAAAAGCGGACGTGTCTCACGATGGAATCTCCAACAATCAAAGTAGTCGGGGCGAAGAGTGGACGTAGCCGCGGAGAAGGCGCTCGGTGTCCATGGCCGGAACCAGCGGGCTCATCCAGGGATGAGTCCGAACCAGGGCGCTGCTGAACACATGGAGAGGAGCGGGGGTGTTGATTCTCAGCTCCGGGCAACCCACGCTGTGTGCACGGAGACGCTGGAGCGGCGTGAGGAGCAGGCTCGGG